CCCGATCCCGGAGCCCCAACCCATTCCCTTCGATCGGCTGTTGCTGAATCACGATGCGTTGCTCCGCCCGCACGTGGACGATGACGAAATGGATGTCGATCCGATCGACGAGTTCAACGATCACGATGTCCAGAACAGAGCTGGCGGTCGACCGAGCCGATTGACGGCACCGTCGTCGGACCCGACACCAGAGGGGGAAGAGGTCGACGATGGCGACGGCGAAGGGCAACATACTGGCCAGGCTGGCCCAAGCCGTGAGAGCGGCGGCGGTGGCGGCCCACCTAGTCAGTTTAGGCCATAGTGGCATTGATACGCACCCGCTGTGGGGCCGAGCTCGAAAGTTGTCCCATCCCCCACCTCTCTCATGCTGCCCCCCACTGTTGCGAGGGGGATGGGGCGAGGACGAGGAGTCCAAGGAGGCAGGGGACACCGTAGGGTTTCTCTCTTCGCCGGCTGCCCACCCCGTCGCCCCGCCACCGCAGGCCCCAGGCCCCAGGAAGACCAGAGCGAGGGGAGTGCCGTGGCGCGGCGGCCCGGGGCCATAGGCCAAGGACAACCAGCGCCTGAGACTTTAGGGCTTCGCCCATCCCGCCGCCCCAGGACGATGCGTGCGACGGGGGTGCCGAAATGAGCGATGGCTCCACGCGAGACCTAGCCGCCCACAAACCCACAGGCAACCAACGTCTGAGACTTTAGGGCTTCGCCCACCCCGCCACCCAAGGATGATTCGCGTGATGGGAGTGTCGAAGTGGGCGGTGGCCGCAAGCGACAAGGATCCACGGGCCACGGGCCACCGACGATGGAGACCTGAGACCTCAGGGCTTCGCCCACCCCGCCGCCCCAAGATGATCCGCGTGAGGGGAGTGCCGAAAGTGGGCGGTGGCCTATGCGAGAGGAAACCACGGGCCACCAACGATGGAGACGTGAGACACTAGGGCTTCGCCCACCCCGCCGCCCCAGGACGATGCGCGCGACGGGGGTGCCGAAATGAGCGATGGCTCCACGCGAGACCTAGCCGCGGGCCACAAACCCACAGGCAACCAACGTCTGAGACTTTAGGGCTTCGCCCACCCCGCCACCCCAGGATGATTCGCGTGATGGGAGTGTCGAAGTGGGCGGTGGCCGCAAGCGACAAGGATCCACGGGCCACGGGCCACCAACGATGGAGACGTGAGACTTTAGGGCTTCGCCCACCCCGCCGCCCCAAGATGATCCGCGTGAGGGGAGTGCCGAAAGTGGGCGGTGGCCTATGCGAGAGGAAACCACGGGCCACCAACGATGGAGACGTGAGACCCTAGGGCTTCGCCCACCCCGCCGCCCCAGGACGATGCGTGCGACGGGGGTGCCGAAATGAGCGATGGCTCCACGCGAGACCTAGCCGCCCACAAACCCACAGGCAACCAACGTCTGAGACTTTAGGGCTTCGCCCACCCCGCCACCCCAGGATGATTCGCGTGATGGGAGTGTCGAGTGGGCGGTGGCCGCAAGCGACAAGGATCCACGGGCCACGGGCCACCAACGATGGAGACGTGAGACTTTAGGGCTTCGCCCACCCCGCCGCCCCAGGATGATCCGCGTGAGGGGAGTGCCGAAAGTGGGCGGTGGCCTATGCGAGAGGAAACCACGGGCCACCAACGATGGAGACGTGAGACCTTAGGGCTTCGCCCACCCCGCCGCCCCAGGACGATCCGTGCGACGGGGGTGCCGAAATGAGCGATGGCTCCACGCGAGACCTAGCCGCGGGCCACAAACCCACAGGCAACCAACGTCTGAGACTTTAGGGCTTCGCCCACCCCGCCACCCCAGGATGATTCGCGTGATGGGAGTGTCGGAGTGGGCGGTGGCCGCAAGCAACAAGGATCCACGGGCCACGGGCCACCAACGATGGAGACGTGAGACTTTAGGGCTTCGCCCACCCCGCCGCCCCAAGATGATCCGCGTGAGGGGAGTGCCGAAAGTGGGCGGTGGCCTATGCGAGAGGAAACCACGGGCCACCAACGATGGAGACGTGAGACCTTAGGGCTTCGCCCACCCCGCCGCCCCAGGACGATCCGTGCGACGGGGAGTGCCGAAAGTGGGCGGTGGCCTATGCGAGAGGAAACCACGGGCCACCAACGATGGAGACGTGAGACCTTAGGGCTTCGCCCACCCCGCCGCCTCAGGATGGTCTGCGCGAGGGGAGTGCCGAAGTGGGCGTTGGGGTCTCCGCCCGCCCCGCCGCCCCCGATATTGTGAAGAGGGGGAGGGACGTGGTTAGCCGTGCATCCGAAGTTAGGGTTCGCATCCTTCCTCGTTTTTTTTCCTAGAACTTGCGCTTGTTTTTCTGGCCCTTGGGTCCAAAAACGGCCCCTTGGGGGGCAAGCGAAAGATGAGGAACTTCAGAGTCGGTATCCCCGAGTTTGAAGTTTCTCTGATCTGTTGTTTTGTGAAGGAGCGCGAACCTGCGAGAACCCCCATGTCGAGCCCGTGTAGGGTTCGAGATGCTCGCGGGTGAAGTGCGACGGAGCCATCGGGCGCCCCCCCCCTCGAGGCCTCAGCCTTCCGCCGCCCCCCATCCCCCAGCGGGGCCCCGTCCCTCCCCGGGGGGTCTCCCCGCGGCTGTCCGCCCTCCCGCCGCCCTCCCAGGCTATCTGCCAACCCGCCGCCCCAGTTGGCTGGTTTGCGCCTTGGCTGGCTGTTTGGTTGGTTGGCTGGCTGGCCAGCATCCAGCCAGCCAGCCAGCCAACCAAGCAGCCAACCAGCCAGGCAACCGACCAGCCAACCAACCAACCAGCCCGCGCCCAGCCAGCCAGCCAGCCAACTTACCAACCAACCAGCCAGGCAACCGACCAGCCAACCAACCAACCAGCCCGCGTCCAGCCAGCCAACCAACCAACCAATTAACCAGCCAGCCCGGCTCCAGCAAGCCAGCCAACCAACCAACCAACCAACCAACCAGCCAAGGCGACAACCAGCCAACCAACCAACCAGCCCGGCTCCAGCCAGCCAGCCAGCCAGCCAACCATTCAGCCCGGCTCCAGCCAGCCAGCCAACCAGCCAACCAACCAACCAACCAACTAGCTGGTTAGTTGGTTGGCTGGTCGGTTACCTGGCTGGACGGACTGTTGGTTGGTTGGTTGGTTGGCTGGCGGCTGCCTGGTGGGATGGATCACCATCCTCTCCATATCCTCACCTATTCCCTGGCCACTTTTGCGGCGCTCGCAAGCATTTCCCTTTTTAAGCACGAGGATCGTGCGAATAACTATGCCTCGTCCTTCCTCCCTGGCCATTTTGGCGACATTCCCTACGCCTCGCCGTTGGAGTGTCGGAATCGCGTGGAACATAATCGTTTTTCAACTTTCCCTGACCGTTTTACTGTGGTTCGCCGTTTGAGCATTGGGATCGCCCAAATCACAACGTGTAAAGGGCCGCCGTGAACTCCCACACCTCCTCCTCCTCCTCCAAGTGCGCCGCTTTCAAGGCGACCGCAGAATCTGCCATCGACCTCAGCCAAAGCTTTGCGGCCACCATGAACACGATGGAGCACTTCTACTGCATGGCCTACCACATCGACCCACAGGACCGAGCGAAGTATTGCGGCAGAGGAGACCCGAGGAGAATCACCATGTGCATGGGTAAAGAAAAGCATGAGAGGAGAGAGGTACGCCAACCGCAGAGCCGACTTGTGGAGCAGAGCCGAGAACACCCTGTCGCTGCTGGCGAGGCTGCGGCGGCGAGACAAAGACGTGCGGCAGCAGCTCCACTTAGAGGCCACGGGCAGGCACCTCGCCTACGACGGCCTCCCGAACACGACCGAGAAGCCATCGGACACGGCCAAGCTACACAGAGAAATTTGGAGGACACGGCTGGCGGACTTGAGTAAAGTCGACACCGACGTGATCCAGGGCATGGCAATGCAGGCAGAGGACGAAAAGAGGAACGCAATCAGGAGGGACCTCAAGGAGAACTCGAGGGCCTTCGGGCAGTGGCTTGCGCTAGCGGAGAAAGACCCTGGAGTCCTTCACCGAATAACAGAGCCGCCGCCGAGGAGAGAGGAGGAGGTTGTCACTGAGGACGGAGTGCTCGACTGCCCCACCAGGATCGTGGACGCGAAAGCCAAGTCGTTCCACAACTTCTGGAAGTGCGACAGGCTGAAGCACGAGCAGCCCACCGAGATCCTCCAGCGGCTGCGAGAGCGCGCCAAAGCCGAGCAGGCTGCTGAGTGGTCACTCGAGGACTTAGACGAGGCGCTCAGGGGCGAGCCAGACAAGGGAAAGGGCATTGACCTGCTTGTGTGCTCGGACATCCGCAGGCTGCCGCCAGAGGGCCGCCAGAGGATCGTCGAGCTCTTCAACGCATGCGAGCGCGCGCTCGCATTGCCGCGGCAGCTGCTGTCCGAGATCGTGATGCTGCCCCCCAAGCCCGCGAAGGGCGACAGGGCCCTAATTAGCCCTGCTCCCGCAGATGGTGCGCTGTTGGGAGCTGCTGCACAGGCCTGCGGTGAGGCGATGGGCCACGAGCAGGAGCGAGAATGAGACGCTGCAGTCGCAAGCAACAGCTGCCTGCGCGAGGCGATGCGGAGAGTGATATGCGACGAGTGCTGCGACGCGCTGAAGCTCTTCCACGGGAACCTGCTCGCGGACATCGAGAAGTTCTACGACAGCCTCCAGCTCGATTGCGTCATCGAGGCAGGCTTACGGATGGACTTCCGCCCCCGCCTGCTGGTGATGATGCTGCTGCAGCACTCGGCAACAAGAGTGGTTCGCTGGAAAGGAGCATACTCGACACCGACCTGGGCTGACAGATCGTTGCTGGCAGGCTCGAGGCACTCGAACAACCTGGCCAAGACGGTGGTATACTCCATCCTCGGGGGGATGCTCGAGGCCTCACAGGCGCTGCCCAAGCCGATGCCGAGGGCCTGGTTCGACGACATCAGCATCCGCATCATGGGCAGCGCAGAGGCAGTCCAGAAAGAGCTGACGGCGGTCTCAGTGGGTCTCTGAGACGGACTCCAAGGCCAGGGCTCTCGCTCGCGGACAAGACGGTCATCTTCAGCTCCAGCTCCCGCACCACCAAGAGGGTCCAGAAGGCGCTGCGAGCAAAGAACCTCTCGGCCCAGGCCGCCACGGAGGGCAGGGACCTAGGCGTCGACAGAGGCGCGAAGGGCACGCTGAGGAGGGCCACGCACAGGAAGCGGACGCTGAGCGCGTTCGCACGCTGTGGCGCAGTGGGCCTGAAGTTGAGGAGGCCGCAGCTGAGGGGGAGAAGAGGCGTACTTCACCAAGGTGCAGTCGCGTCCTACATGTACGGCACGACAGCGCACGGCATGGCCCCTTGGGCGAGGCAGAAGGCGTGGCGCAGGCATGCGCAGGCGCTTAGGCGCCCGTGGCCAGGCAGGTGCATCACCACGTTCCTGGCGTTGGAGGGAGCAGACCCCGCGATCACGTCGGTGAAGGCGCAGCTGAAGACTTGGTTCGAAGTCTGGGCCAGGAGCCCCGACATCAGGAATCAGGTCAAGCGCGCGTGGCCGAAGATCTACTTCCAGCTGCTAAAGCTCAGAGCGGAGAAGAGGTGGCGAGCTCGAAAGGGGCCGCTCGCCAGCCTTATCCCCCTGCTGTGGGAAGTGGGCTGGGGCCCCAGAGGGCCAGACATCTGGATCGACAGAAACGGCGACTATTGGAAGTTCAGCACCGAGGGCCATGGCGGCGACTACACGGAGATAGTAGACGCGTTCTTGCAGGAAATCCAGGACCAGCTGTGGGGGAGAGCCGCGCAGCACCACAACGGGGGAGGGCTACAGCACGGCGCAGACGTGACGGACCTTAAGAAGCACCTCGGGCAGCTCGCGAAGAAAGAACACCGCGGCACCTGCGGCGCGCTCCTCGCAGCGGCGTGCGCAGGTACCTGGGCGCGAAGACGGAAGCACGAGACCTTCGGCGGCGAGGAGGTCATGTGCGAATGCGGGAGGCCCGAGGATGACGAGCACAGGATCTGGGGCGACTGCGCCGCCAGGGGAGACTGCGAGGCCATCCGCAATACCGAGGGCCCGGCGAGCAGGGCGCACGTCGGAGCCAAGGAGAACCCCGCGTTCTGGCTGAGGGGCGTCACGCCGAAGAAGTGGTCCACGCCCCCGAAGTGCGACACCAAGCACATCGAGCACGCCACGGGCGCCTGCGTCACCCCAGGCAGGCTGCGTGCAAGTGAAGGCGGCGAGCTCGCAGGCTGCGGCGACGGCTCAGGAGGCGAGTACAGCGCTGACGAGAGGTGCTGCAGATGCGGCTGGGGCTGGGTGCTGCTACACGAATGTGAAGACACCGACGGGATAGCGGGCGCCCGATTCGGCCCGCTGCCAGGACCGAGACAGACCAACAATAGAGCGGAGCTCTTCAGCCTGATCAGCTTCGTCAACTCGACAGAGGGCAAGGTCAGCTTCTGGGCGGACAGCGAGGTCACGTGCACAGGCTGGGCTGCGAGGCGCGAGGAGACCACGGGGCTCGGCTGCATCGACGGCGACCTGTGGCATCAGCTCGGCGAGGCGATTCGCGGGAGAGGCGGCGACCGCAGCGACGCCAGCGCGCACCACCTCAACAGCCACATGGCGGAGCAGGAGGCCAGAGAGAAAGGCATCGCACGGCGAGTCTGGGCAGGCAACAAGGCGGCGGACGAGCGCGCAGCGGCAGGCGCGAGGACCCGCGCGATCAGCGACACCGAGATGAGCTGCTACGAGTGGGCGAGGGCGACGGCGCACTTAGTCAGGCAGAGGATCGCAGCCACCACGAAGGACGCACTCACCAGACGGCCGCCAGAGGAAAAAGGAGATGCGAGAGGCACGACGAGCCCAGGCCAAGCGGAGGAGGCAGGAGACGCTGCGGAAGAAGGACCTGCTCGGCGACGACCACCAGCGAAGGCCCGCCTCACAGCACGTCGTGAAGCGGGACCGTCGGGGCACAGGCTGCACGTGCTTCTGCTGCTGGGAGTCGGTCAGCAGCGCTACCGCGGCGAAGGCCATGCATGGATGGCTGACGCAGACCTGCAGCGGACCTCCGCCCCCGACGGCACTCACGGTCACAAAGTGCGGAGTCGAGTCGCACCCCGCGCACAAGCTGAGGCGGCTCAGGAGGCACAACCGATGGTTCTGCGAGAACTGCGGAGGCGCCGCCACTGAGCTGATCGCCAAGAAGCTGCAGGAGCCCTGCTGCGGACACACGGCGTGCGACAGCGGGCGCTACAGGCTCCAGCGCTGGCTGAAGCAAGCGGTGTGCGAGAGGGGCACTTGCGACATGCCCGCCGAGGAGAGCACCGAGGAGGGGCCCCAAGCAGAGGAGCAGGAGGCGGCCAGCAGCAGCCGGAGCACGGAGGTCGACGCGGCGGGGGGCACAAGTGGTATTTCCTGGCGAAACAAACAGGAAGAGCCCCCCCGTCGCTGGCGGGCGCCGAGGCGACGCTGCGAGCGCAGAGGCAGAGGCTAACGCAGGCGAGCCAGGCCTTCCCCCCGCCTCTGAACGCCCCAGGTGTGGCCAGGGGCCCCGCGAGGCGGGATAATGGGTGGAGGGCCGAGCTGGCCGGGCGCAGGGCGGAGAAGGAGGAGGCTGCAGCGAGGGCGCGAGGCGCCGCGGCGGCAGAGGAACAGGGGGCGGCCAGCGGCAGCCAGATCACGGAGACCGACGCGGCGGGGGGCGCAAGTGGTGTTTCCTGGCAAAACAAACAGGAAGAGCCACCCCGCCGCCTGAGAGTGAAGCGCCGAGGCGACACCGCTGGCGCAGAGGCAGAGGCTGAGGCAGGCGAGCCAGGCCCTCCCCCACCTCTGAACGCCCCAGGTGTGGCCAGGGGCCCCGCGAGGCGCAGGGCGGAGAAGGAGGAGGCTGCAGCGAGGGCGCGAGGCGCCGCTGAGCCTGACCCCTCCCCAGAGAGGAGACCCGAAAGGTCAGGGAGCGAACGGCGCAGAGACGAAGAACCAGTAGCGGGGAGGCTTCTGGACGCGACCGCCGCTGCCGCTCCAGCACCGACGCCAGCGCCGACTCCAGCGCGCCCAGCAGCCGCAGAGGACACGGCAGAGGGGGAGGCAGCGCCACGCGAGGCCTCGCGAGCGCTGCTGGAGGCGGAGAGGAGGAGAGCTGCTCGCCCGCCGCCCGAGGCCAGGCCGACCAGAGCGGCGGCCGTCGGCCCGCTCCTGGCGCTGGGCGAACTTCGTCGGCTGCTGGGCGGAGGAGAGCGGCCCGCGAGGCGGGGCCAGAGGACCACGCGACACGGAGCTGATAGCAGAAGAGGTCCTCCCCGCCCCGCAGCAGAAGGACACGGCTGCGGAGCCGCCTGAGGGGAGGGGCCGAGGTGGGCCGAGCGGCGCTGGGGGCAGCGCTGACTCGCGCGCGCGCGCCGACCGCGCGCCCGCGCGGGCGTGCCACGACGTGGCGGCTCGAAAGAGCTCGGAAAGAGCTCCTCGGGTCGCCCACGGCCCCGGGGGATGCAGGGAGGAGGGGGGAGATGTTTGGCGCTTGTTCAACGCGTCCCCCCGTCGGGCCGGGATCGGGCCGAGGCCCGAGCGGTCCGAGGCCGTCCCAGGCGACCGTCCGCCGCCCCAAACCGGGTGTTGCTCGAAGTGCCCCTGGTCCAAGGTGCCCCCAATGTTTCGCTCCATTTTGGAGCCCCTGGGGCCCTCTGGGCCTCGTAAGGGGTGTTCTGGAGGCTGTCTGGGCCACCCCGAGAATCCTGGGGGTACCTCCGGCCAGGGGCACTTAGGAGGCCCGCTCCTCCGCGCAGCCTGGCCCGACGCGTAACTTCCCAGTCAGCCAGCCAGGGTCGCCGACGACTCGATGCGACGCGATTCGATTCGCCAGCTGGAGCTTCGATTCCGATTCGATTCGATTCGGTCCGTTTACACCAGCATCGGCCTGTGCCGGCCGGAGCCTGGCGCGGTCCGATTTCGATCCGACTCGGGACGATCCGCTGGCGATCCGACCCGATGCCGACCCGATTCGATCTCTCGATTCGATCCAGTTCATGCCTGCCAGCTGCAACGCTAGCAAGAAAGTTCGTCCCCGAGCTTGCCTCCAGTTTCACGCGCCCACGAGAATGGGCCCCCCTGGGCGCCGCAGGGAGGTCCAGCGGCGGGCCGACGGGACATAGCATGCTCCAGGACCCCGTCAGAGTTCTCTGCGGAACCTCCCGGGGTGCCGTCGTGGCCCTCGGGGAGTTGAGCCGAAGGGTCTCCCAGGCGAGTCACCTCGACGGCACTGAATCGTGGGAAGTGGACTCGCGAAAGTCCCCGGATCGCCCCGATGGGTCGCTTGCCCTGGACTGGAACGTGGCCTGCCAAGACGGTTCCCGATTAGCTCTGCCTGGCTGCCTGCGGGGAGCTGCTAGGAATTCTCGACGCGTAGCGTATTCCCACCGGATTCGCCTAGTTCGCGTCCCGGACTTGCTCTTGCCGCCTGACCGTCGTCTCGCGGCCGCGACCGAAAAGCATTCCCACCGGTCAGATCGCCAGGCGAGTTGCTTGGATCAGGGACGCGTTGGAGCATGTAGAGGAAGAGCCTCCCGTCAAACATGTGTGGGCAATTGAATCATACCTTTGACGGAGAGCCAATCCAGCATCTCGCCCATCGCATCCAGAACCGATGCCCAGGCAATCCCAAGCTGTCTTAGGAGCCTCGTTGAGGTACCCTGGAGCCATCTTGGGAATAGAGGGGGAACTGAGGGGGAAAAGAGGAGGAGGAGGCGGAGGAGGAGACGAAGGAAATGGGAGGAGGAGGAGGAGGAGGAGGAGGAGGAGGAGGAGGAGGAGGAGGGAGGAGGGAGGGGGGAAGAAGGAGGAAGGAAGGAAGGGCAGGAGGAAGGAAAGGCAGGAGGAAGACCAGGAGGAGGAGGAGGAGGAGGAGAGGATGAGGACCACGATGAGGAGGAGGACGACGAGTACGAGGAGGAGGAGACTTTTGCGGATCTGTGAGGACCACGATGAGGAGGAGGACGACGAGTACGAGGAGGAGGAGACTTTTGCGGATCTGTTGCCGTGGGATGCTACTTGGGGGACCTTGGGAACCATCTTGGTGCCCTCATGGGGTCCGCCTGGGGCCTATCGGGGCCCTGTTGGAGCCCTCTTGGTGCTCCTTTCTGGAGAGATCTTGCTAGCCTCTTGGGACTCTTCTTGGGGGGTTTTGGGCCCACTTGCGCCGATGTGGGGGTCCATGGTTGCAAAAAAATAGTCGGGGTACGATTTTTGGAGCACTGTTTGACCATTCTTGAACATTTTGTAAATATTTTTAATTTTTCATCCAAGCTCCCCCTGTAGGGGGACACGCCGATGTTGGGGCCCATGGTTCAAAACGGGGATGGAACTTCGGCCCCCCCCCCCTCGGCGCTCTCTCTGCGCCCTCTTGGGGGTGCTAGGAGGCGCTCGTGGGGCTGCCTTCGGGCCCTCTTGGGGCCCTCTTGGGCCCGAAACGCCCATCGGACGCGAAGCAGCGAGAAGGCGCACCTAATGTGTGTCCTTGGGGTTTTGGACGGATTTGGGCCTCTCGGGGGGGAACGCCCATCGGACGCGAAACGGCGAAAAAGTACACCTAATCTGTGTCCTTTGGGTGTTGGATGGATTTGGGCCTCTCGGGGGGGGGGGTCCTCGGAGGCTCCGCTGCCACTCGGAGCCGTCTTGGAATGATATCGAGGCACCTTGAATGTAGGTCGGAGCTGTCTTGAGCCGTGTCATTGGCTAGGTTGAATAATCTTGGAGGCCATCTTGTAGCATCTGGGAGCCCGCGTGGAGCCATCCTCGGCCATCTTCGACGCTCCATGCGGTCGCGACCCCCCCCGTCGAGACCCAGGGGAGGGGGCAGGGGGAGGGGTCAAGACCTTCCCCGCCCGCAAAGCAGTCTCGCTCATTCTCACCCGCCCTCCCAACACAGAAGTAGAACCGTAGCCGCAGCATGTTCAGCGGTCGTTTTGGGATGGACACAACTGGGAACCAAAACATGACCCTTGTGCGCGACTCTGGGGTGTGAGGTGCGCCTCGCGTGCCAGGCGCGCCAGGCGCGCCAGGCACCCTGGGGCCCAAGCGTGCCAGGCACGCCTGGTGCGCCAGGTGCGCCACGTGCGCCATGTGTGCCGCATGCTCCCGCCGCGCCAGGTGCGCCACGTTCGGGGCACGCGCAGAGTGTGCCAGGTGAGCCCGTGCACGTGACAGTGCATATCAGGAAGCATGTCGGCCCCCACCATCCCTGTCGAATACCAATACGCAATCGCGGCGGGATGGCCATCATGGTGTCTGATGGGCCTGCACACGTCAGGCAACATGCCAGCTCCCCTGCCGTCCCTGTCAGAAACACATGCAAAGAGATAGCGAGGTGCCCGCGCATGATTTCGATTTTGCCGCGAAGTGCACGTTGCATTGTTTTTTGACTGGGATGGTGGCCCTGCGCGCAGCAGGCAATATGCCTTCCCCCACGCGCCGTCCTTGCAACGACAACAATACGAAGTGCTCCTGCCCCCTCCCGAGCATGACCCAAAAGTTTTGCCCCAAAGTGTACATATTGGGGGGTGGGTGGCATTGGTCCTGGTTGGCTCCCGGTCGCCTCGCCTGGGAGAGGAGTTGTCTATTTATTAGAAGGGTACAGTGATCAAGCTACCTCAGGCCGCAGGGGTCAAGTTCCCAGAGGGAAGGCCGCAATCTGTTCCGTTCACACTCACGTTCACGTTCACAAGCCCTCCTACCGCATAAGTTGCACCATAATCTCAGCATGGGCAGGGGCCGCGATCGACAACCGTCGAAAACCCTTGCTATGTCCAGCTAGGTGCGCGACGCCCGCGAGGTGCGCCGCACGTGCCAGGTGCGCCACGCGCACCAGGTGCGCCACAGTGGGCAATATCTCGACCCCCCACCATCCCTGTCAAGACCTACTGCACAGTAGCGGTGGGGTTGCCAGCATTGTGTATTGTGTGTGCGCCCGCTCTCATTTTGCATTTGTGTGCGTGATATGGATGGTGGGCCCTGCGAGCAGCAGGCAATATGCCACCTCATCGCCGTCCCTGGCAAAGTGCAGTTAATACTCGTTTGAAAGGGTTGGTGGGGCGGCTGACACTCCAGGCAGAATGCCGGGCCCCCCTGCCGTTGCTGTCAAATCAAAAAACAATACCAAGTGATCGCGGGGCGCCCGCGCATGATCCAGGTCTTGGTGCCAAGTGCTTTCGTATTGGAATTTCCCTAGGGATGGTAGTTGCGGGGTATTGGCATTGCGCACGGCAGGCAAGATGCTTGCACCCCCGCCGTCCTTGTCAAAAAAACAGAGCAGCGTGATCGCGGGGCGCCCGCGCATGATCGCAAGGTGCGCTTCGTATGGTTCCTTGGTAGCGTCCCGTGAAAGGGTCTCGCAGGGGGGTCAAAGGCGCCTGCCGCTAGAATTTGTCCTCAAGGGGGGCCAGGGGGGGAAGGCGCCTCACGGCCCGGCGGTGCGGCCCGGAATCTGCCGCCAGCGACCACTGTGGTGCTTTGGGTCGACTACGCCCAGCAGTGCGACTCACCACGTTCAGGAGGGAAACAAAACACAAGGACACAATTAATCGTCGATTCCCCAGAAAATATTGGAAAATATGGGAAGTGGGGGGGGAAGACAAAAACCCAGAAAATATGGGGAAATATGGGGAATAGTTTTATTTGTGTGTATTTATTTGTGTGTCCTGGGGCCCCTCCACACGT